CTGATATAAACAAGAGATTGCAGAGACATCTCAGTAATCAATATGAAGAAGGCTACAGTATGGAAGCTACTCTACAGCATATCATCCGTCTCTGCATCTATTTCTATGACCAAATGAAGCATTAATTCAAATCATAAATCTATGGTGATTTAAAACTGGGAATGAGCACCTGCCTGCTTTAATGATTTATTTTGTACATTTCAGTAAGCAGGAGATTTGTCCATATGAAATGACAGGTCACCTTCAGATGCCAGGACCAGACTGTTTATCACCATATAGACGAGCATCTCATCTTAGCAAATAAATATTAAACTAAAAAGAATCCGATGAATTGTGGAAAGGAGAGAACAAGTATTATAGTCGTATATTTCACCCTGCCTGCCCGCAGAGCTTCCTTACATCAGAGAAATGCACATGAAAGATGGGTTATTATTGCCAATTACCCCATTTAGACCAAGGTTTCTATTATTTTTAGAGTACCTTTATTAAGAGATAACAAATGCATGGCATTGCTAGACAGAGCCAGAATACTGCAGTGGTTAAAATGCTCCCCAAGGGATGAGGGGGGAGGGGTTTAAATCCACCTTCAGCCACAGAAGGTCACTGGCGATCCTTCCCACTGCTCTGCTAACATCAGAAGTTTATCTTAAGTGTTGAAAATCACACAGCACAGAGCACAAAGAAGCCCAAGAGAGGAGAAGCTGACGATTAGGAATCCTGAATGATTAATTCGAAACAGCCCAAAATATTTAGAAATGTCTCTATCTCTTCTTGCTAAATATGTCACTATTCAGACTTCCTGGCTCCCAGAAGTATCTTTTGAGGGACCAAATTTCACCCAACTTTCATCAAACACTAGAGAAAATTTATCTCTTAACAGGTTTTATGCTCCGAAAAAGCCTTCAGAATCACATAAGGAAACGATGAAGGGCTGTACTTTCCTAAGAGTTTTGTTTCCATTCCTGATTCAACAAAGGGTGGAGGATAGTGTTTTAATTTCTTCTTTAATTTCAGAACCCCTATGAAAGCTTTCTGTTCAGATCTTTAGGGGGAAAACAAAACAAACCTTCCCTCCAGGTTATTTATAGACAAAGAGAGATGTCAGAAGTATACCCGGTAGTCCTTGAATTCAAAATTATGAAGGTGCTGAAAGAAACTGATTTATGACTGGTCCTCACATCTATGACTGTTGCACATGAACAAAATTCGGGCACTTGGCAACTGGAATGTATTTTTAACAAGGGACGCAGCCTTCCTAGCAATCACATGGTTTGCTTAACAACAACAACACTGGCAGCAAAAAGTAATGAAATTGAGTGCAACTAATTTTACAGCCACATTCTTAGGAATGGAAGTTCCAGTCCCAATTGTGGTGGTAAGTCTACCACAATTGGTAGACTACTTGCAAAGAGGGTGTCAGAGGTAAAGGGTATCACATTTTGATCCTTCCACCGTTCCTGTTCTGCCCTTCTTGTAGTCTTTCATAAGGAAAACTGGACTTCAACATCTGGACTTCAATTTCCATCTGAACATAAGCCTCTCAGTAGGATCTCTGTCCAAAAAATTACTTTTAATTAAGACGGGAATTTGATCAGGAGCAAACACTGGAACTTTGCCTTCCTTCCAAAAAAAAGGCACTGCAACCATGCAGGATGTTGAAACCTTGGGCAAGATAGTGTCATCCCATGAGATCCCATTTAATAAGGCTAAAAACTGACGAGACTTTTCTGGCATCTTGTGTGATGTCTGGCATCTTTCATGTTGGCGATCTTGCTCAAGAAGAGACTTTGGGAGATTTCAGACGTTTCTCTTTAGTTACAGTTTTGTACCAAGATTAGAAGGTCATACCTGGCTTAGAATAGCTATAAGAGGGTCAGTTCCATGAAACTCAACATGGGGTGTACTACCAGGCTGCACAAATTTTGACAAAGACATACTATGGCAAGACATGCTATGCACATTAGTGCCTAAAGAGGTGCTCTCATCTACCCTATTAAGCCACTGTGGCTGCTCTATGTTTGTTCTCCTAGTGAAGCAAACAGTTGTCCTTTTCCACACCTATAAGACAGCCAAGACTTGCTTACAAAGCAGATGGAAAGTATTTTATGTCATCTCCCACATAATAGAATAACAGAGTTGGAAGGGACCTTGGAGGTCTTGTAGTCCAATGCCCTGGAGGTCTTGTAGTCCAATGCCCTGGGCAAACAGAAAACCCTATAATATTCTGGACAAATGGTTGTCCAATATCTTCATAAAAACCTTCAGTGATGGAGCACCCACAATTTCTGGAGACAAGCCATTCCATTGGTTAATTGTCCTCCCTTTCAGGAAATTTCTCCTTAGTTCTAGGTTGGTTCTCTCTTTCATTAGTTTCCATCCATTGCTTCTTATTCTACATTCAGCTGCTTTGGAGAATAGGTTTACCCCCTCTTCTTTGTGTCAGCCCCTCAAATATTGAACACTGCTATCATGTCACCCCTAGTCCTTCTTTTCACCAGAATAGACAACCCTAATTCTCATTCTTCCTGTTTTCCAGCCTCCTAACCATCTTGGTTGCTCTTCTCTGCATATGACGTGAAGCATCCCTTTTCAATCCTACACATATACAGCAAGACCTACATTCATCACATGCATATTTCCCCAGCATCTCCCCATATCCTACAAAATATAAAACACTTATTATAAAGAAAGTTATTGTACTTAATATTATAGTTTTGGTCTCTGACTAAAATCCAAACACTCCCTAACCGTCCTCCTCAATATGTATTATAAGCAAATGTTTTTATTCTGCAGGTTAGAGAAAAAAAGGGGGCGTTGTCTTACCTGAACGCCTTTTCTCAGCATGAAGAATGGAGAATCCACTAATGGATTAAAGAAGTCCTCTAGCCCAATTAGACCAATCAATCAAGTTGCCACGCCCCTGCTGGCTGGACCATGCCCCAGTTTCGAAAAGGGCGAAGCCAATGATTGTGTAACGTGTTGGCTCCCAAACTACTGACTGCAAATTTCAAAGGGGAGGGGGTGGATTCTCCATTCTTCATGCTGAGAAAAGGCGTTCAGGTAAGACAATGCCCCTTCTCCAGCATGGAAAGAATGGAGAATCCACTAATGGGACATACCAAAGCCCATGTGACCCTACGGGTGGGAAGCAGGCTGGTCAAGTGTCGGTGCTGCTTGCACCACCTGTTGTAAGACACGGCGGCCGAAAGAGGCCTCTGCAGAAGCGAATTTGTCGAGCTTGTAATGACTGATGAAGGGGGAAGGCGATGACCACGTCGCCGCCCTACAAATGTCAACTATAGAAGCTTGAGTCTGCCACACAGCTGATGTAGAAGCACTGCGTGTGGAATGTGCCATCAGACGGCTTGGAACTGGCAAGGAGCGAACCTGGTATGACCCTGCAATAGAAGCCTTAATCCACTGGGCAATAGTAGAAGAAGAAACCTTCTGACCCTTAGAAGCCAGATGGAAGGAGACAAAAAGTGCCTCAGATCTATGAAAGGGAGCAGTTTGCGTAAGGTAATATTGCAGTGCCCTGCGCACATCCAGAGAATGCCATTGCTTAGAGAAAAAAACAGTAGATGCTCTACCCTGCTTTTCATTTCTCCATTGATTAAAGAGAGTCGAACTAAGCATCTTAAGTTTTCCACCTTGCCTTTTCCCTCATGTTTAAATAATTTTGGGGGGACTGTTGTTAGATGTCCTTGTTCCTTCACCCATCCCTGAGGCTAGGTACAGTATGTTATGCAATTTTGTTCGGTCGACCTGTAGAATTTTCTATGGCTGAAATATTAACAACAAAGAGGGGGGAAAAATTGCTTGAAATCTGCTGACATGGGCATATGTGCTCCTTTTGTTCCTGGGTAGGAGTTAAATAATAAATATGTACAGGGAGATCCAGAACAAAAAAGTTGTCAAGCTGTCACCCTTAAGAATAACCTCAAAAATTTGCAGAATAGAAGAAGCATATATTAGATTGTCATGTCTGGTTTACGTCTATGCAACCTCTGCCTTGAACAGCAGTTAACAGCTTTCAGTTCACTCACTAATTCCTCTCAGAGAGCAGAAAGCCGCCATTAGAAGGAAATGTCCTTAAAGTCTGTGGTCGCTGAAGGAATATTTAAGAAAAGGAAATTGACTCCATATAGAGAAGCCACATCCTGTGGATCTCTCAACTTTTAGGAGACTGAAAGTGTTGTCAAAAGTTCCAAATATGAAACGCGGAGAGGAAAAACAAACAAACATAATTTTAGGCATCCATAAGATCAAAATAGCCACTAATTCAATTTTGTTCAGTCAACCTGGAACATTTAGATAGACAGGACTTGTTCAGTTTACCTGGGATTTAAGCAGACAGGACTTTGTCATCTACAAAGTGAATTCTGTATTTTAACTGGTCCAGTTTAACTCAACTGGTTAACAGGAACAATGAATCCAAAGAGGGTGGGGTTTTTGTTTTGTTTTTTTGAAATGCTACCCTGGAAATGAGTAGGCTTTTGATTAGTTCCATAGGATGGAGGGATGTTCTGATTTGACATCTTTACAGTGCACTTTCAGATATATTTAGACTGTGTTAATGTGAAAAAAAGCCACACTTGGAAAAATAAGCCACACTTGGAAAACTATTTTTTCTCCTGCCTTTATAAAAGCAGGTATCTTTGTAACAATTCTCTTGTAGATCAGAAACTTCCACTTTCAAAATTTTTATTAGTTTATCAAAATATAAAATGAAGAAGTACCAAGAAAAAAAGAAAATAAGGGAGGGAAAGGGGGAAGAATGAAAAGTGTAGGGTAAGAAAAAGAAAAGCACTGACTTCCGACGCCTTTTTTAAGGTAATAGCATAAAAACTCAACTTTTTATTTTTTACACTGAATCTGTCTAACTGGCAAAACCCAAAATCAAAGTTTCATATATATTTTTGTCCATCTCAAGAACAAAGTCCAAAACCGGTTTCCAGGTAGAAACAAAATTAATTGTGTCTTTGAGATCAAAAACTTACCCACAGCAGAATTGAGGTCCCCATTTTCAGACTCTGCTGCGTGCTGGTTATTATTGGCATGATAGTTTGACATTGCTTCTAATTTAATTTTTTTCACCTTCATTGCTTCCGCGATGGCAGCATTGGTGGCTGCGGCCGCAGCAGCAGCCGCAGCTGTCAGACCTACAATGAAAGAGGAATAACAACCATGAAATCACAACTTCTATCCTCTGTCCCTTTGACGTCACCCTCTTCCAGGAAACCGTGATCATGTTCTCAAGGAATGAACACGCTGGGAGAAAGGAAGGAAGGAAGGGAGGAAAAATCATCATCTGGAAGTGACAGCAAACTTCTCAAGGCTTTTGTGGCCAAATAAGTTGTGTGTAAAATAAGGCCTCCTTGTGTTTTTAGTCTATTAGCTTCAATCCTGCTTAGCCCTACTTAGACTATACTAGTTGAAATCATGGAGATTGCAGAGGGTCATCTTTAGTTAGAATAATCTAAATTAGTTATCTCTATTTAACTGATTTCAAGAAATGTTCTCAAGAACTAAGTCTAGATTTGGGCCCTTGTGTTTTTAACCTGACAAGGGGTAGACACTGTTCTGAGTTCCACATTCAAAAGAAGACATACCTCCTAGTCTAAACCAGGAAATGATGTTTGCTTGTTTGTTTGTTTGTTTTAAACTATGTTATGCTTAGGCTCTGTCTGTTCCTTTCCCTTCTCTGTTAGTCCAATCTTAAGGTTGGTGATATGCCATCTGAACCCAGATACCCTTTTTCCCCAGCTGCTGGAAATCAGGAACACTGAAATACATTAGAATTTATATGCAATGTAAACTTTAACTTAATTTTTAAAAAAATAAACAAAACCCTCAGAACCCTCCAAAAAATTCAGAAGAAACTGAAAATTCTGGGATATGAGGGACTGAGTTCCACATTACTTATGGATTTAGTGGGCTGGATCAAGAGTACGGTCCAGGCTTACTGATGGTCTCAAGAACAGGCCCTTATGTGGAAAGTCCTAAAATTTAGCTCAGGGCTGAGATGGAAATTCTTATTTCAGGAACTGAGCATTGAGAGAATCTGTTCTAAGGATCTTTTTATGAACCGGGTTGAATGTTCTAGGGGTAGGCAACCTTGGCTCTTTGATGACTCGTGGACTTCAACTCCCAGAATTCCTGAGCCAGCCATGCTGAGGGGAAAGGGAGAGGTTTCCAAGCTGAGCCATGCTGACTCAGGAATTCTGGGAGTTGAAGCCCACAGGTCATAAAAGAGCCAAGGTTGCCTACCCCTGTTCTAGGTCAACCCAGAATTATTTCCTTCAAGGTCTGATCTGTGAACATGAAGACTGAACATAAAAAAAAAAAAGGATCTGTTCTGGGGTATGAGAACTTCAATGTCCAGATTGCCCACTCAGCCTACCTCTGAAAAAAGGATCAGGACAATAGAGGCTGTAATAATATCATCACTGAAAACAATAATAATCTATCAAGAAGTACATTGAGATGAAATATTTATACAATCTTTTTCAGGAGAGAAAGGGGGAAGACAATCTCACTATCCCAGCTATTTGCCCTTATGTCTCCCTTTTTACGGCCCTGTAATAATAATAATAATAATAATAATAATAATAATAATAATAATAACAACAACAACAACAACAACAACAACAACAACAATAATAATAATAATAATAATAATAATAATAATAATAATAATAATAATAATAATAAAGTTGGAAGGGACCTTGGAGGTCAACCCCCTGCTCAGGCAAGAGACCCTATACCATTTTGGACAAATGGCTGTCTAGTCTCTTCTTAAAAACTTCCAGTGTTGGAGCATTCACCACTTCTGGAGGCAGGTTGTTCCACTGGTTCTCCTTAGTTCTAGGTTGCTTCTCTCTTTGGTTAGTTTCCATCCGTTGCTTCTTGTCCTGCCTTCAGGCGCTTTGGAGAATAGCTTGACTCCCTCTTCTTTGTGGCAGCCCCTGAGATACTGGAACACTGCTATCATGTCCCCCCTCATCCTTCTCTTCATTAAACTAAACATACCCAATTCCAGCAGCCGTTCCTTTATCCCTTAATTCGAGATAGAGTCAGGGAGACTGAATGGAACTGAGCATTTGCTGACCAGATGCCCTTCCTGATGCCTATGTGGAGTTTGCAGCAGATATTTTCTCTTTGTACCATGATAGAGAAACATCTGCCATTGCCTAGGATTGAACTCCGAACCTTCCAAGCATCTTTACCACTAGGCCACCACGCCGCTCATTTGCCCCTATGTCTAAAGCTCATTATTTACTTAGGGTTGTTGTTGTTGTGGGGAAAATTGGAGGAAAGTGTGTTGAGTATGTTCACCACCTCGAGATATTTGTAAAAAAAAATAATAATAAAGGAGACCAATTAAATAAATAAATGATTTTCATCATATTGCATTAAGGATTTGACCCCCCCCCCCAAAAAAAAAGTTATTTGCAAAGAGAATTTGAAATTCCTTTTTTGGGTTTTTTATTTTGTTTTATTAGTTTGAGTGGAATTGGTGTGGGAGGCGGCCCAGAGGGAAGGATGTAAATAACGGTGAAGGAAGCCACCCTGTTGCAGCTATCATTAATATCCCGAAATTGATAATCTGTTTATGTCTAGCATTTTTCCTGCTGATTATTCAGTGAGACAAGCCACTTTATAAATATCTCATCACTCCAGCGTCACAGAAATTTCATCGACAGTGCTTTGCAGAGCCATTAGCAATATGAATCTAACCATTAGGAGGAGGAGGCAGCATGTGGCATTAATACGCAGCCTTGCTTCCTAACCATCTGATAGGCAGATGGTGTAAAGTAGATTCTCCAGCTGAAATGGAAGGGCCGTATCATTTAAAACCTTGTTTGTATTCTAACTGATATCGCTGCCATATTGCTATCCAGGATGCATCGTGGCAATGTTTGAACAATCTAGTTTGTCTCAGTCATAAATGTTTACAGCCTTGTTTTTTGTTTTTTTTTTAATCTTTAGACGCATGTTCTGGAGCACATAATTTTTAATTTATGAAATCTATTGTTTACTTCGGTGGAATCGGAAGATTAGCAAGGCAAAGGAATATGAAATTTTTTTTATAAAATATTGGCTTTGTGTATGTGTGTGTGTGTTTTTCTTCAATAAAGATCGTTAGTAAAGGAATTAAAAAAAAATTAGCTGAGGCATTTTAGCCATTACATTTATTCATTAAACCTAACAGCTTCTTCCCCCATGTGACAGACTTAGAAGTTTAATGTTATCACACACAGCTCTTCATGTAAAGCTCTTACTGTGTGCAATTAATCTTGTTCCATAATTCTATTCACAAAGCAAAACATCAAAAACTTAAACTCCTGCTCAATAATTGTAGTTCTGAAGGAACCTTCCCTTCCAATGACTCATGCAGAAAACTCTGTTTAAGGAGTCTTATAAGAGCTGAAGTGAACTTGAATTACAACTCTATTCAAGAATCAGGTCAGATCACAACTTCAGCCAGACACCCACTGACAACCAAAGAAACACATACAAACACACGCAAATACACACACACACTAAATGAGGCCTCAACCAATCTTTTCCTTCACATAATTTAACAAAGGATTTTTTTTCCATCATCCATTTCAAAAGGTTCGCTGCCAACATTAAACTTTACAAAATTTAAAAAGGGATAGTGTGAATGTAAATTCATAATAAAATATTTTTAATACAAAATCGAACTCTCTTGAAAAAAAAACATTTCTATTAATGTGCAACCCCTCCCCAATTATTATTTAGCTTGCATTGCCAGCCAATGTCTTCCTTTGGGATCAACTCTGATATCGAATAATAATTTTTCTGCTCTTGTAGGAATTTACAAGATTATTAAAAAATATTTTACTTTTTACAAATAAAGTTCTTTATTCTGCAATTATTAATTTTAATTAGTGGCTATTCATTTAATTATCATAAAGTGATTTGATTTTCTGGACACTATAAGTAGGCCTACAGAGATATGGCTATATATTCTCACACACTTTTTTGAGTCAAACATATGCAAGTCTTATTTCAGCTGGTGTTCACACCAGCTGTAGCTTGACCAGCTAAAACATTGTACTAGTTTCAAGGGACAGTCTTAAATTCCTGGCCGCCTTATTATTGTTATTGTCCATTGAATCAATTCAGTCAACTGAGGATTAAGAAAGGCTGCCTGGTCCATTTACTTTTAGGTAAATGTGGTATGTTTCATTTGTTCTAGATTTTAAGCAGCTGCTAAATCTCTTTGCTGTGTGCTAAATATTATAAATGTGTGATAATGCGCTGCCTATTTCATTTTGTTTTTTTCTCATTCCTTCCATTATTGCGGAGGTGCTTACTTCAATGATAAACCACAGGAACCAGGGCTGACAGAGGAAAGGACAACAAAAAAATGCAAAACAGCAAGTTTAGTGGTCAACCTAAGGGCATCCCATGAAAATCCATGAGATTTAAATTCCTTATGGTCAACTTGTCCCATTTTCTTTCCACTCTGTCTATCTAAAACCTGATTAAGTCTGGATCCAACTCGGTGACATCCTTTGGCTGCCCTGTCTTAGAGATTATACAGTATTAAGTTTTAGAGCCTTGATCAGTCAGACAATACTTGATATTCACTTTTTACATATGCAGACAGAGCCAATAAATACACCTGTGGAGAACCTGTTTCCAGCTTAACCCCAGGTTTTACATGTAGATTTCATATGTCTTCTTCTGAGAACAGCTGGCATATCGTTCTTTTTTTCATTCTTATGGGAGAGCTTTCCGCCCACCTATTCTTTAGCATAAATCACTTAATGTAGAGGGCTCAATTCTCAATAAATGAACAGAAAAGGGGTAATAGGCTTCACTTGTAGAAGCAACTTGTAGAAGTCATTGTCGTTGTCAGCCATTCAGTCGTGTCTGATCCTTGGCCACTCTAGGAATCAGCACTCTGATGCCCCTCTGTCTCGCACTGCTTCCTTCAGATCCACCACGATCATCCTGGTGTCATTCTTTATAGTGTTCAGCCAACAGGTGCTAGGGCAACCCCTTCTCCTCTTTCACTCCCAGCATGTTTGATTTTTTTTTAGTGAGTCAGCTCTCATGACATGGCCGAAGTAAGACAGCCTCTGGAGATCTTGGCTTCCGGTGAGATTTTCAGTGAGATTCATCT